GATAATGAAAAAGTAATTATTTATGAAATTGTTTAAGCTGCTGCAGTGAAAAATAAAAAGGGGAGGCGATATTCTGATGAATGGTTGTTACTTTCGCTACTTCTACATATGCGTTCACCAGTTACCTACAGATTTTTAAGTGAAAATAAAATGTTAGCCTTGCCATGCGTTCGGAAAATTCGAAGGTAATATTTAGATTAATTACCTTTTAATAAGTTTAGTAAAAAATAAAATCTTATAAGTTTTTTTTATTTTGCAGATACCTAACCCGCTTAGAATGTCCTTGCGGCTTTGACCCCCCATTTTACGAAATTTTAAAAGACCATTTGTCTAAAAAAACGGAAATGGAACGACACGGAATTCTTGTATTGGATGAAATGGGAACGAGAAAAAATTTACTCTTAGACCGTAAAACTATGAAATTTAAAGGTGTCGAAGATTTTGGCGATGATTCTCCAAAGGATATAAATGAAGAAATGGCTGATCATGGACTCGTTTTCATGTTTCAGCCATTATATGACACATATTCCCAGCCGATAGCAGTCTTTGCGTCTAGTGGACCAACTCCTGGCAATGAATTAGCACAATTAGTTGTTAAAGCAATTGTTTTGCTTGAGCATGCAGGGGCCAAGATTCATGGAGTCGTATCGGATGGCGGATCTCCAAACAGACGTATGTGGGGTGAGCTGGGATGCAGCGGCAAAAAAGGAAAAGGAATATTTAAAAATTGTTTTAGACATCCTATGGATGATAACAGAAAAGTATTCCTTTTCTCAGACACACCTCATTTAATGAAAACAACTCGAAATCGTTTATTAAATCAATCAAAATTAAGGGTATGCCTTTTTGTTTCAATGTATATATTTTAATAATTATTAAATATTTAATAGTAATGTTTATTACCTAGATTCATCCAGATGAAAAATATATCGAATGGGAACACATTCAAACTTTATATGAGGTGGATAAATTGCAGAATTCAGGGCAAAGATTGTGTCCTAATCTTACTGACTGCCATATATTTTTAAAAAATAACAGTTTCCTTAAAATGCGTGTCTCCTTAGCTACACAAGTAAGTCTTCGAAAATTATATTAATGTATAAAGCTTTTGTTTATTTATGTACTATACTCGCAAGTAGAACAATTTAATAATATTATCTGATTGAGCAGGTTTTTAGTAAATCTGTTGCTCGTGGCTTAAGGTTTTATAAATCTTTAGAGAACAGATTGAAAGATTCTGATGCTACCGCAGATTTTTGTGAGAGGATGGACCACATATTTGACGCTTTAAATAGGACATCAATAGGAAATACACCTCAAAATGAGGACATTGAAGTACGTGCTGAAATAAATTTTCATGACGTTGAATCTAAAATTTATCACTCATATTAATAGGACCGACTGATAAATTCTTCTTTCATAAATTTTTATAATATTATAGATTTATTATTTGCCATATAATTCTGATATATTTATAATTTCTCAGTTTTTGCGTGAAAGTATCCAATGGTTGGATGATTGGGAGACCCGGAAGGACTAAAATTTAATCGACGCGAAGGAATTTTTAACGAAGGAAACTGCAGAAGGATGGCGAATGACCCTAAATTCTTTTTTAGACTTGGCAGATTATTTGCTGAACGATTTAAAGTTTGATTACGTTTTGAGTGGACGAATTAATCAAGATCCTCTGGAGGTATCGGCTAATATAAAATTTAATTTAAAAAAATTTTTTTCAAGGGAATTTTCTGGTGAAGAATTGATGAAAAACACACTTTTTTAAACTCTTATTGTAAAAAATGTGTTTTAGTTATTGCAAAAATTCCTTCCGGTTAATATTACGTATTACAGGAAGAGAATTTTTATTACATTTTTTTTTAGTATTTTGAGTTTATTTTTGCAACTGTTGTCTACTTTTGTAGATAAAGAATCGAGTGGTTTTTAGCTTTTAAAATCGGTTCAGTAGATTTCTAGAAAAGTATCTCATCGTTTTAAAAATGTGCTTTTGAGAAAAACGTGTTTGTGGTTTTCTTAACGCATTACAATGAGTTAAGAAACGGTCATAAAAATTGCTATAACTTTTTTGTTTTGCATATTTTTTAAAATAATTTTGGGTAATTTTATGACACTAAGGGACATTTTAAAGCAAAAAAAGAAAAAAGATTTCTTTGAAATCCTTGACCAGAAAGTCTCCTTAAATAAATAGAATAATCATCGTACAGATGACATAAAAAAATTATCGTTAAGTAATAATAAGCTCAGTAAAAGCAAATTGATGTGAATTTAATTGGATTTGTTAAATACCCAAAATAAATACGATAACGTAATGAAAGGTTCTAATAAATTAAAAGTTACTTCTTCTTATTTCACAGCAATTTCTTTTCCTCATAAAAAATAATAAATTACAGAAAAATGGAATAAACATATGCATATGACATAAAATAATAGTATTGTGATTTTATTTATTTGCCTAGAGATTTTTCGGGACAGTTAGGCTTTTAGGCGGCACTAACAACCATCCTTCAACTCCAAGTTTCTTACAGATATACAAGATATTATCATTCTATAGTATTCTACAGCTACCGCGTACAGGAAATTGTTCGATTCCAGATGATAAATCAATAGAACCACTAATTCCATTAAAAAGGCTAAAAGAATTGTATCAAGCTAAAATCGAGTCATCAAATTTAATTTACATCAAGAATAAATTAGACATTATTATTGAACAAGACGATAATGACTTTTCGGATTTCACAAATGCATCAGATCATGATTATGATTTACCGGCAGTGATGGATTGTTTGCTTTACTTTACCACGGGACAAATTTGCAAAAATGTATCAAGATTTTTAAAGTGTGATCTTTGTCGCTCTGCTTTCTTTTATTTAAAAGAAAATGTTGTTCGAGTAGAAAATTATCCAATGGCTAAACTGGTAACCCTGGATAATGACACAGAATTACGACATCCCAATAAAAATCTATTTAATTTTCTAAAAAAAGTTGAAATTTCGTTTCAAATATATTGTAACAAAAGTAACGTTTACGACCTCGTAATTTGTGATATTACAGTAGAAAAATACAAATTTCCGTGTTCAGAACATGCCAGTGATGTTCTCACTTACGTATTAGATTTTTATCTTCAAAACAGAATTAGAGGTTTCATAAAAGATAAAATGTCTAATACTAAAAAATTAAATTTAAGTATGAGAAAAGCTGCAAATCTAGTAGCAACTTGAAAAGTGATAAGCTAAAAATCAAAGATTATTTATTAATATAGAGAATTGTTTAATATTTAAAATATTAAAACAATAACTATTGATTATAGTATGTTGAAAAAAAGTACGAGAAATTTTATGAAAATGTGTTTTTCCTATTAAAAAATTTGATTACTTGAATTTTATATTCTATTCCTTTTTCTCCTATCATTTTTATTATTATATGTTTAATAAAATACTAAAAGTAATTAAATTTAATTTTAGTTCTTACATTTAATTTCAATTATTATTATATATTCTGAATTTTCCTAAATTAAATATAAAAATATCGAGAAATTTATTTTCAATTAGCTATAATGATGTTTTCTTTAACAAACTCGGTAAAATTTCTTAATTTAAAAAAAGCTAACTATTCATGAATGAAATATTAAAAGCAATTAAAACAATTATTTATGAATAATGAGTGAAAAGAATATTTTTAAATATAAACAAAAAAATTTCATCTTTTATTGCATGCATTTTTGAACTTTTTGAATAATGTGGGGCCAATGCATAGGTGGCGCCGCCCTAGTGGTGAATAACGGCTTTCATGACACCTTTCTAAACCAGCCAAAGCACGAGTGTCACCCCCATGATCATACTATACCGAGCGTGTCACATGCGCGGTTGCCAATTATCACTCTTCCAAATTTCGATGGGTCGTACCGGTCGTACGAACGATGGCAGAGTTTTCATGACACTTTTGTCGCGATGGTTGACGGAAACACATCTTTAGATTTTATCACGAAATTTCACTACTTGCAATCAGCCTTAACGGGAAAGGCGAAAGAGTACATTAATTCTTTTGAAATAACACAAGCAAATTATAATTTAGTTTGGGAATTACTAATAAAAAGATATCACAATTCGCGATTAATTATCAACCATCACGTTCAACAGTTGTTTAATTTACCACAAGCATCGAAAGAATCGGTTGACTCTCTGCGTGCATTGTCAGACGGATTAGAAAAACACACTAGAATTCTGAAACAGTTGAAGGTGCCGGTCGAAAAGTGGGACACGATTTTAATATTTTTGGCTTCTTCGCGGTTAGATAACGCAACAAAACGTGAATGGGAATTAAAGGTCGTTTCTGATAAATTGTCAAAATTATCTGATTTTTTAGAATTTTTAAATATTAGATGTGAAATGTTAGAAGCAACTTCTCCTATCGGATCTAATTCAATTTCATCGTCAAAAAATGCGAATAATTACGGAACAAAAAGGGAAACAAAAAGTCTAGTACACTTAGCGGCAGGTAATCCTTCGACTGAGTGTGCAATCTGTCAAAAGGATCATAGAATCTACACTTGTTTAACGTTTCGAAATTTGTCTATCGATCAAAAAAGAAATAAAATCAGGGAACTTAATTTATGTTACAATTGTTTAGGAGCAAGGCACTTTGCGAGAGAGTGTAAATCGAGTCAATCTTGTAAATATTGCGAGGGAAGACATCATTCAATGTTGCATAAAAATAAGGTGGAATCAAGCTCAAACGAAATGCGTCAAAACGATAAAAAAAAATGATAATTCAAGAGTTGTAAAAGATAGTTCTGCGCCAATGTCAATCGTGTGTATGTCACAAAAAAATATTACTGATCAGGTTTTATCGACGGTAGTAGTATATATAAAAAACGATTCAGGCGAAAATGTAAAAGCAAGGGCTTTGTTAGATAATGGTTCAATGTCAAATTTCATGACAAGGGATTTATGTAATAAACTTAAATTAAAGGAAATAAGGTGAAACAAATGATATGGGGAATCGATTTAACTCAAACGAAAATTAATTCTTTTGTAAACGCTACGATTTGGTCGACGCAAAATGAATATAATATAAAAAGCGAATTCTTTGTTACAAATAATATATCTCATTGCATACCTACTAGAGAATTAAATAGAGAGGAAATCACTATCCCTGAGCACATTATCCTAGCTGATCCTGAATATTATAAATCTAAACCTGTCGATCTTCTTTTAGGAACAAATGTTTTTTGGGATTCTCTTGAACCACAGCAAATAAAGCAAGGGCGAGGACATCCAGTGTTGCAGCTGACGAAATTCGGTTGGATTCTGGGAGGACTTTTGTCGGCAACAAATTCAGAAAATCATTTTAAGTCACGATCATCATTTTGTGGTTTTTTATCCGATGGATCTCTCAATGATCAGGTTGAAAGATTTTGGCAGATGAACGAAGAAATTCCAAATAAAGAAAAGTCCGAGCAAGAATTGGAATGCGACAAGATGTTCAAGGCTTCATATACACGTGATGCTGATGGACGATTTGAGGTCGACATACTGCTAAAAAGAGATGTGAGTGAACTTGGAGAATCTAGGAGCAATGCTGAAAAAAGGTTGCTTGCAACAGAACGTCGACTTCTCAAGGACGAATCAATGAAGGTACGATATAGTGAATTTTTGGAAGAATATTTGTCGGTTGGTCATATGTCTCTTATTCCAAAAGATCAGTTATTCAAGGACGAAAACTATTTACCCCAACATGCGGTGTTCAAGGAGTCCAGCACGTCAACCAAACTCCGAGTGGTATTCGATGCTTCGTGCAAGACGAAATCTGGAATCTCGCTAAACGATTGTGTGATGGTGGGTCCAACGATTCAGAGGGAACTCTTCGACATAATTGTCCGTTTTAGATAGCATCGATTCGTTCTCACAGGTGATGTGGTCAAGATGTTTCGACAAATTTGGGTGAAGCCAGAGCAACGAAGACTTCAATGTATTCTATGGAGAAATGATGAAACACAACTGTTGGAAACCTTTCAACTCAACACTATGACGTTCGGAGTTGCTTCATCACCTTATCTGGCCACTCGATGTTTGAGACAGTTGGCGGAGGATTTTGAATTGTCACACCCTCGGGCATCACAAATTATCAGAGACGATTTCTATGTCGACGACTTACAAACTGGCGGACAAACGGAGGAAGAAGTCATACAAATCAAGGATGAAGTTACAGCAATTCTGCAGTCAGCTGGTCTCGATTTGCAGAAGATCTACTCCAATGTGGAAGGTTTGAGTCATAACAACGCTGATCATGAGATTACGGAAATAAAAACGCTGGGACTTTGTTGGCAACCTGGAGATGATCGATTGAGATATCATACGTCATATCAACTGGATTCTAAAATCATCACCAAGAGAATCATACTATCGATTATTTCTCAAGTCTACGATCCGCTGGGTCTGATTGGTCCGTTTACAGTTCGATCAAAACTACTCCTGCAATTCTTGTGGAAGCTGAAGGTGGATTGGGATATTCCAATTCCAGACGATCTAAAGGAAAAATGGCTTTCTCACTGTGAGCAGCTAAACGAGATAAATAACATCGATATTCCTCGACACGTTCTCGTCGAGTCACCACAAACAATTCAGATTCATAGGTTCAGTGACGCATCAGAGGTCGCATATGGTGCATGTTTGTATATGCGTTCGATCAACTTGGATGGATCGGTACTGGTGAGACTCATCTGCGCTCGTTCAAGAGTAGCACCACTGAAGTCTACGAGTTTGCCGAGACTTGAACTCTGCGGAGCTCTTTTGCTGTCCACAATATTCGCAAAGGTCACAGAAGCATTGACCGTCAACATTGATGAATGCTTCTTTTGGAGCGACTCCACAATCGCACTTGCTTGGATCAAGGGTGATTCAAGCAGATGGCAGACCTTCGTGGGCAATCGTGTTGCTGAAATTCAGCGACTCACACCTGACGACAAATGGAATCACGTACCAACTGATCAGAATCCCGCTGATTTGATATCTCGAGGAATGGACGCCCAAGACTTGTCAACTTCAAGTCTTTGGTGGAATGGGCCAAGCTGGCTCCAGAAAAATGAGGATTCATGGCCACAATTAACATTCAAATTTCAGATGTTCCTGAGCAAAAAAATTGATGAAGACGTTTGCAGTGCTGGAAACGAAAGATTTCTCAATCTTGAGAAAATTCTCATCCTGGAACAAATTGTGCAGAGTGATTGCATACTGTCTGATATTTAAAGGGAATCTTCGAAAAAAACGCGATAAGAAACCATTGATTTCTGGATCATTGTCGGCAGAGGAATTAGCGAGAGCAAGGACAACACTTTTAAAATTACATCAAGAAGAAGAATTTCCGAGAGAGTTGCATGATCTTCAGCGTGATCAACCGATTCATCACAACAGTAAGCTGCTGACCTTGAACCCGTTCCTGGATGAAGAAGGTTTGATGAGAGTGGGGGGAAGATTGACTCATGCTCCATTATCCTACTCCCAACGCTTTCCCATCATCCTTTCCAAAAAACACGTGCTCACAGAATTGATTATTCGCCACTGTCATTACCAAAATTTACATGCTGGATCACAATTGTTAGCCGCAACCTTGCGCGAGAAGTATTGGATTGTATCAATGAGAGGTGCTACTCGTCGAGTCTTGAGTAAATGTGTTTTATGTTTTAGATTAAAACCCGCAGTTTCGTCACAAATGATGGGCAATTTACCAGAGGTGCGAGTAACGCCGTCGAGACCATTCGCTAATGTAGGATTAGACTACGCAGGGCCATTTAATATAAAGGTATCTAGGAACAAAACTGGTAAAGCGTATCTATGCGTTTTCGTATGCATGGCAGTCAAGGCCGTGCATCTAGAATTGGTCTCAGACCTGACAACAAACGCCTTTTTAAATGCATTGAAAAGGTTTATAAGTCGTCGTGGTAAATGCTTAACGATAATGTCTGACAATGGTAAAAATTTCATAGGAGCAAATAATGAATTGAAAAAAATCGTGAGGAGTTTGTTGTCAGAGAACGAGATTTAAGAAAAAATCATGAATTTTCTAGCGAATAATTCTATTAAATGGAGTTTTATTCCACCTTATTCCCCGCACATGGGGGGATTATGGGAGGCAGCAGTTAAATCTGCCAAATCTCATCTTAAAACGGTAATCAATGAAACACCGTTGACCGTCGAGGAACTTTATACCGTAATTGTGCAAATTGAATCTATCTTGAACTCAAGGCCGTTGTATCCTTTATCAGCTGATATCAATAATTTAAACGTGTTGACTCCTGGTCATTTTCTTATTGGAACGGCCTTGAATTCAATTTTAGAGGAAGATGTTCGAGACGTTCCCGTGAATCGAACGAACAGATTCCAATTATTGAGCAAAATGCAACAGTCTTTTTGGCAGAGATGGTCGACCGAATATGTGACACAGCTTCAATCGCGTTTGAAATGGAAGCAAAAAGATCGCAGCGAATATGTAAGAGTTGGACGAATGGTTGTGATTAAGGATGATAATTTGCCACCCTTACGATGGCAACTTGGGCGAATAACCGAAATGCACCCAGGTGCCGATGGACTGACTAGAATTGTAAGTGTTCCCAGTGTGCAAAGTTGCAGAACAGTTATGTAACTATTCTAGAACAAAAAATAACAAGTTCTATAACTGGTGAGGAACAGGTAGGTCAAAATGTCGTCCCCCTGGGGGCACAAAATAGGAACAAAAGTTTGTAACAATTCTAGAACAAAACTAGAACATTGTTCTATAACAATTCTGTAACTGATGTAGAACAATGTTCTAGAACAGTTACAAAAAATATTTGGAACCAAAATATATAATAGTTATAAATAAAATCTGTAACAATTCTAGAACACTATTATAGAACAGACCTATAAAAATGTTTTGTAATAGTTCTTGATCAGTATCATTTAACAGATCTGTATCAGTATTAAAAAAATTATCTAGACCGCTGTTAAGTAAAAAATCTACAACAAATCAAGAACTGTATATCTAAAATAATTGAGTAAAACATAGTTTTCTCAACTGTACTCAGTTTCATTAATTATATATCCCATTTATTTGTTTTTTATTTGTTATATCATAAATTTATACATCTATTAATTTAACTTACAAAATATTTTATTTTTCAAATTTGGTGTTGTAAAAAAATAATTAGGTAGGCTTTATTAAATGGATATCAAGTTGTTTCTAGAAATCTTTTTATTGAAATACGTTATACATATTTTAAATCTCACAAGCCTTTATGAAGATGACTGTTCTTATATGGAGTACATATTTTAAGTTTTATATTACAAATTAAATTTAAATCAAACATATTTCCATTATTAATTATTTGCATGCAACATTGAAATAATTACGCAATTCTTATCTTCTAATTCCATTTTTAAACACTTTCGTTTAACTTGATTTGCTTTTACTTTTACTACATTTGACATCGTTGTTAGACTAACTGAAAAAATCCCAAGTTTCTTTGAATCGCAGGGATCAATGAAAAAACGTTCCAGATTTGCGAATTTTTTAACTTCTAAAATTAAATTATTTGATTCTTTAAATATTTTTTTTATAAGTACTACTGAGCCATCATGCAATAAACAGCAATTGTTATTTTTTTCACTTGATATTCTGAATCCTGAATATTGCAAATACGCGATTTCTGAGTCGGTTAAAAATTTATTTTTATAATAAGGAACAGGAAACTTAGTTTCAGGGTACGAGGTTTTACTAATTTGACTTTTCTCAGTTATTCTGTTTACGAATTGAGTTAATGGTCTACTGCAAGTTTTAACTTCATTTTTAATTTTTTGTAAATAATTTTCAAATTTGAAAGCGCTGAACGTATCCAAAGGACCGAAATTTTTTACACATTCCATTAAATGTAAAAGTACGTGAACATTGTATGTTACATACTCTGCACCATACAAACTCGAATAATTTTCGACAAACCAAACTAAAAGATTGTGAGCGAAAAGCTGCCAATTTGTGTCTAAACATAATTCTTCATCTGCTAATATTCGAATTGAAACACTTAATGCTAGAAAATGTAAATAAAATTCATTTCGAAGGATAGATTTTAAAACAATCATGCCTGTATACAAAAGAAATTGTCTACATTCAGTTGCTTTCCATCGAGATATGTCTGTTAGTGCCCTAGGTTTTCGTGCGAATTCTCTAGGAATAAATTTCCCGAGTTTTATCAAATTTTTAGAAAGGCTTTGAATTTCCTCACTTTTTAATCGCACAACTGAAAGGCCGTGAACTAAAAACCACAACAAACGACGAACCACACCGAGACAAACGCAATGCATGTAATCGATCGGTACTTGTTGAATTATATCCGTCAACATTTCCTTTAAGCATGAATAAGTCTTGTGGTGTTCAGGATGTAATCTATTTTTGAAAGAATCATGTGTTCTAGCAGTTGAATGAATTTCAGGAAAAGTCATACGATTCCTGAAATGTACGCCTTCCTGAATACATTTAGGACATCCAAAATACCCGGTATGGTCTTTTGTTCCCATTATTTCAGCCTTAGCTGGTGCATCGGCAACAACCGCATCAATTGTGACTTGTACAATTTTGTCTCCTACTTTTACGCCCTCTTGTAAATATTTAATAGATTCAGTTACAAAGGGTCTTAAGAGTTCATTAAAATTATCAGGTTTTGAGTATCCGTGATACACACCGATCACAAAAGGTTCCGTATAAAATTTCTCAACTATTGCTCCCAATATCGTATAAAAATTACTTCCTGAACTTTTTACAAGAGGCATAGCATCAAAGTGTACATTTATTTTTATTGCATTCGGAACTGTTTTAAAATATTTCTTTATGGAATTTTCAATGCTTGAAGACAAACCAAAGTGATAATAATTTCCTGGACCCAGTGGTGATAAATTTAAAGTAGAATTTTTTGGAGTTTTTATGAAAGTACGTCTATCTTTCGGTAATTCAGTGTGGCCATGCTTAATTAAAACATTGAGCAACTTATTTGTTAATCTATGACTTAAATTTCCTTCTAAAATAATGTTTTTCAAATCAGTTGATAAATCTAAATCGCTACTACTATTTTCATTTTCATACGCAGAGTTTTCATGATCTCTATCTGAAAAATCGCTATTTACAATATCACTTTCAAAACTATTATAACTTTGATCAATAGAATCTTCTTGCATGGTGTGTATATTAAGTTCTTGAATGGAAGCTGCTTCAATTTCCAAATTATGATTAGGAGATAAATCGTCAGATATTATATAGTCAGTTGTTATTTCATTATTATCTCTACTAAAAGACTGAAGAGGTTCACCTACTATTAACTTGTTGAAAACGACTGATGAGATAGGAGCAGTAGCATTGGAATTATTACCTTCAGTTGTAACACACGTAGCAGCAGCAAAATCAAGTTTTATCTTTTTAGATTCGCTTTGAATCAAACGCGATTTTTGCCTCTTTGTCAGATTACAAATATCCTTTGGCATCTTTACTGAAAAAATATATACATACGACTTTAAGGTACAACTTTAAAAACATATTTTATATTTATAATCTTTAATAAAAACCAATAAACAATCATAATTGTCTCTTTGAAGGACTGTTAGGTACATATATTGTAACCCTATCTTTATTTTGTTCACAAATTAAAATTTAACATTTTCTAAAACATTTACATTTTTAAAAAAATTTTTTTTTAAGAAACACTTTTTCAATGACGATTTTCTTGAAACTCAAAATATTTTTAAAAATCTAAAAAAAACTTCGAAAAGTAAATTCAATTAAACGACTTTGAAAAATGATTTATGAGCAACGAATTTCGACAATTAAATTAGGTAAGAAAATTGAAAAAAAGAACAGTATTTTTAGAAACGTAGGATTAGTTATAAGAAACACTTTTAAAATTTATTATTCAAAAAATTTTAATTATAAAGTAATGTTGGATTAATTACAAAATACATGTACGATTTCACACATGCATTCAGAATGGAATATTTATTTTAATGTATAATTTTAAAGTATTTAAAAAATGTTTTTAATATTATACTGATAAAACTTTGTACCTTTCCATTTATGATTTATATTAGATATAAAATGAATTGAATTAATTTACAATTTACATTTAAAATCTTATTTTCAGGTTAGATTTGAAATATTTACTCAAATAATTAAAAATAATTTAAAGACATTAATAAAACAAATATGAATTTTTAACATGATTAAAAAATTTCTTATTAATAATGCAAACTCACCTGTAAAATCATACGAGGGTCCAAATGAAACGAACACAATTGCCAATGAAAATAAGCACAACGTCAATTTCACGTAGGGTCTCATGTTGACAACACTACAATTGAATCAGAATTCAAGGATAAGATATTGCCATTTGTAAATATCACATTATTTAATTATTTTGGGGTTTTAACAACCGTTAGAAGTAAATTGTATAAAGTATTTTATTTTATATCAGTTATACGAAACATTTTCTTCAGTTGGAAAATACTATATATTTTTGAATAAAACCAATTAAAATTTATAAATATATAAATGCAGATATTTGAAAATAATGATGAAACTTACCTTCAAAGTTCCGAATATACATTTTTTCACTATTAATCAGGACGAAGCGGTTGAAAAGTAAACATAACCATTAAGTCACATGGTAAATTTTAGGTTAAAAGCACGCTGATCGATGTATGTTGCATGATTGAGTTAATTACTTATACGTTGAGAATAGTAGGTCAGAATTTAAAATGTTTTTAATTTTATTAAATTAAAACAGATTTTTTATCATTAAATAATTAAAATATTATACTTTTCCGTATTCTTTCACGGTTTCACATTAACTGTTCAAAACAAACATTCCACAATGAGCAACGGGGACCCTATAGCGCAATGACGTGGCAATGACGAATAAACACTACTGCGAATAATACGTGACTTACGCAATAAACGCAAATTTCGTTAACTTTTCGTTACTAAAACATACTCAGAATCGATGAGGTGTACAATCGTTAATTGTAACATTTTTTTAATATGATATTAAAATGATGTTTTAGGGAACACAATTTTTAATTTTAAAGATTTATTTAATAAAATAAACCAATTTTTTCTATCATTGTATTATTTCTTATGACTTTTGAAAGACGCGATTTATGAATTCAAACTTTTGATATCTTGCCTCCTAAACCCTACAGTTTAGAGCATGCGTATTTTATTACAGCTGGTTTTTCCTGATTTTACCATTATAATCCATACTGCACATTTTAATGGTTAATCTGCCGGCATCCACGTGCTAAAGATCCATAAATAACCTCGATTAGGCTGAAGATAAATTTCGATATTTTGTGTTCTTAGTGCAATTAAGATTTTTAAAATTAAATTTAAATTTAATTGCTTGGTTGCATCCAAAAAATGGATTACGAAAATCTATCTAACTATGTAAGTATAACTATAAATTTTCGATTTAAAAAGTGTTAGTTTTTAAAGTTCTTATACTTATTATTATAGGAGAATATTTTTATAAATAAAATAATGCATATTTTTTTAAGTTAAAAAAATAATATGAAATCTTAATGCTTCAATATACTTTATTCAAGTAGTTTAATTAATATTTTTACTTCTGATTTTTGTGATAATTAATTTTTTTGCATTCGTTATTTTTATATGTATAGAAGCCATTGACTTTGAAAAGCCATTTGCTGTGGTAAAATTTCTTGATGATGCAGACGAATTTCCGTACTCAGAGGTGCCTTCCGAATGGTTGTCGAAGTTTGTGGATGAAAATAACAATGAGGAATATTTCATGTGCTGGTGGCCCAAAGCATCAGAAAAAAATGTTTCATCGTTAATATCATCCAAAGCAAAAGTCGACGAAACCAATTGGATACAACTGGCAGTTGAATTTGACAAATATTGCTGTAAGTTACTTTTGTTTAATATGCGCTCTTTTAAATTTTTCCAAGAAGAAAAATTAATTTTTTAATTTATATTTAAGTCAAAAATGCATTTTGTGTCAATATTGTCCACCATAGTATCCTCTAATAAAATATAATATTCACAAAAAACTTGAATTTTAGTATATATACTTATATATTTAGTATATTTAGTATATTTATATATATCCTCTTATTTTTTGTACTAGACAACAAACTAATTTATTTCTAATTACAGCTACATTACACAGTGCTCGAAAAAGAGCAGAAAATTCAAATTACCAAACAACAGACGAAAATAATTTAGGTAAAGGTTTTCGGAGAAAAAGAGTAAAAGAATTTTCAAGTGATGATGAAGAAATAAATAATAAAAATAAAAGGAAGAAGCAATCTGCCTATCAAAATAAATCCTTTGAGGACGAAGATGCTGAACTTCCGAAAATCTCCAAGTTACCAATATTTTCAGACACAGTTATGTCAACAGAAATAAGAAATACATGTATAGATCTAACCGATTTTAATTCTGGAAATGTATCTCTTATTTCTGGATCAGTAGATGGTGGTACAAAAAATATAATTGTACCACAAAAACTGCATGGTATAATTTTACATTTTATTTAGCTTGAACAAGTGATGCATGCATACTCTTAGAAGTACTTAGTTCGAGTTTTCTTAAATTCATAACTTCTAATTTTTATTTTCTTTTTAGATGGTTCCGAGACTAAAACAGATCAAATTCATTACCGTGTGTTGGCCGAAATAAAATTAGAGCTTAGAGATATAAATACACGTTTATGCAGGCTCGAGAAAAAAAGTCCATTATCTGTACATGAAGGTTTTCAATTAATTGAGGATTTGATACCATTTCGTCATGAAAGTGAAATATCTGATTTTAATGATAGATTAAAAAATAATGCTGAAATGAGTAAATTATTTGTAAGTATTTTATTGTTTGAAAATATTTTTTTAACCTTAAGCTATATCCTTCAAGCAAATAATAGTTGAAATTAAAGAGCTACTCCTAACTAACATTTTTATAATTAAATCTAATTTTTTCATTTCATTTTTAGGAATCATTCATTTTAAAAATTGGTGGAGATGGCTCAAAGGGGCATATTTATCAGGCTCTTGCCAGAGTCATAAAAAACAAGTGTGCAAGGGGATTTACATGGAAAGGGAACAAATCAAAGCCAGGAGCAAAAAATTTGAGGTGTATGAAGGATATAAAAGGTAAAAAAATAAACTATTTGGTAGTGTATACATAACAAAAATACTGTTGAAATAATTTATACCCACTAAGTCGCAATAATAATTAAAGGCGTTAAGAATAATATAATTTCACTTTAAGGCTGATCTCACTTTTAAATTATCAAAAATAAATTTTAAAAAAATTTTAACTACTTTTATCCTTAGAAAAATATAAATAAAAAAATATTTCAACATTGTAGGTGCATTATGCAAAACTCACACTACATTAACTGAGGCGGATTTCGACATACATGCCGCGGAATGGTTCCGCACTGCGAACCAACGATACAAAAGAGAAAAAATAAAGTAATTTGAAAATATTTAAATTTTTTAATAAAGTATAGCTGGTGTATGATATGCTAAATAAATAATTTTTTGTAGGAGGCAAAATGCTCGAAGGCAGAGTCAGCAAGCTGAAAACTAACTTTCTCGTTTTTGCTTAATTTTTAAGAAAAACATTGTTTTTGTTTTTTTATATAATTTATATTAATTATTTTAAAAGACACAGTCTGACATTTATTTAAGCATTTATAATTGCAATCAATATTTTCAACAGTAACTTTAACGATTTTTTAAAATCTATTTAATAACTTTCTGTTGGACGGATAAAAAGCATTTGCAATAAGACTGACTTTCTCGTTTTTGATTAATTTTTAAGGAAAACATTGTTTCTATTCGTTTATATTAATTATTTCATGAGACACAGTCTGATATTTATTTAAGCATAATAATGATGAGTATTAGTAATATATGTTGTCTAATTACTATCTAAGTATAATTGCAATCTGTATTTTCAACAGTAACTTTAACGATTTTTTAAAATCTATTTAATAATTTTCTGTTGGACGGATAAAGGGCATTTGCAATACTTTAATTTAAAGGGTACATGATATCGCATAAGATAGTGTTTTGTTCCAAGTTTCGATGCGATCTTTGTATTTCAATAATAAGTAAAGAAAACATTTATTTGTATGAATAAATTTACTTTGTAACGAATTATATAATTGTTTTTCTTTATACCCCATTTTTTCATTTTGTACATATTTGTGAAACCTATTATCAAATTCTCTACTCTTATTCTATAAAAGATTATGCACATTTAAAAAGTTATGACTTGCAAGAATTATAGTTAAGATTTTTTGTATGACTTCTAATAATTTAAATTAGCCTATTTGTAAGCTTTATGTAAGCTGCCTTTAGTGAAAATAAACACGTGTTTATAATGATAGAACAGTGATAGAAAAGTTATTTACATTTTTGTAACAGTGTTCTAGAACACTGTAAGAACAATGTTACTTCGAAATTCTATAACTAATTTAGAACAAATGTTCTGGAACAAATGTTACATGTTTGTTATAGAATATATACAGAACAACAGTTCCAGAACAAATCTAGAACAAAGTTCTAGAACGGTTCTATGATAAAATTGTAACATTTGTTCTAGAACACTGTTCTTTTTTTGGTATAGAACAGTTATAGAGCGTGCACACTGGGTTAGGACAGCTTCGGGAATTGTAAAAAGGTCTTTACCAAAGATATGTATTTTACCTCTTGAAGAGGAAGATTGACTGCTAAGTATTTTAACTCGATATTTTGCTAATGGTAATTAATTTATGTTTTAAAATGCTTCTATTGTTAAGGGAAGCATTTCAAGGGGGCCGGGATGTTTTGAATTTTGCGGCAAAAATGACCAATTTATATTTTGGAACACAGAGAGAGGTCATGTGAGTAAGGAGGATTGATGTAAACGACGTAGCGGGGAGAGATAGTCTCCTTAGAGCCATGTAATGAAATAGACGCACTAAATTTCGAGTAATTATAATAAAGTGTTTTTATATTCAAGTTTGAGATGCAACCTAATTTATTTTTCACACCTAATCGCAGTTATGCACATTCATTTCTAAAACAATTATTTAAAAACAAATATTTAATTATTTTCAAAAAATTTCAGAACAATATTTTAAAAAAAGTTATTCTTAGAAATATTTTATTATAATTCTTTGCAAAAATTTAATACAGTTCAAAAAATTTTTTAAATTCTCTTCAAAATTACAATTATTTTTATAAATAATAAAATTCTTCTCCGAAATTCAATTATTTTTAAAAATTTTAATAAAAATTCATAGCAAAATTTCAATTATTTTCAAAAATTACAATATTCATCGCAAGAATTCAATTATTTTCAGAATTTTTAACATTCTTCGCAAAAATTTAATTATTTTCAAAAAAAAAATTGTCGTAAACATTTTAATTATATTTATAAATAATTTTTCGACAAAATTCAATTATTTTCATAAACAATAGTATTCATCACAAAAATTCAATTATTTTCAAAAGTAATAAAATTCTTTCGCAGAAATTTAATTCTGTTCAAAAATTTAAAAAAATTCTCGTCCAAATTTCAATGACGTTTATAAATAATAAAATTCTTCAGAATACTTTCTAAAAATTACAACTACAGTCCTTCCAAAATTAAATTATTTTCCACAATTTTTAACTAAATTTCATCTCCAAGTCAATTATTTAAATACAAAAATTCCATTTTTTATAAAAATTGTTTATTGTAAAAAGTAATTAAGGTACAATATTTTCAAAACATTTTAATAAAGAAATTCTCAAAATTGAATTTTTAAAAATTAATTTTGATATTGAATCAACATTTTAAATAATTTTTCAAAGATACTAGTGTTTTAATTAAATGTACGATTGAAAAATTTTCAAATAATTAAAATTTGATAAAATCTATTAAAAAGAATTGTTTGATAAATACTTTTTAAAGTTTTTTAAAGTTTTGTTTTAAAGTTTTTTTTTTTTTTTGATTAATACTTTTTAAAGTAAAAGAATTTTTGAAGAATATAAAAAAAAAATAAAATTTTTAAAGAATTTTAATTATAAAATAATAAGAACATGTTTTTTCCAAAATTTATTAGGTCTGAAAAATTAAATTTTTAAGAATTTTAATTTACTTTGTTTGTAGATAATTAAAAAATTATAATAAAACATTTCTAAGAATTAGTATTTTAAAAATATCGCACTAAATTTTTTTTAAAATAATTGAATTTCTTAAGCAAATTTCTATAAGTTATAGAAAACTAATCAATTTTTTTTTTAAATTTGATTAAAAATTATAAACATAACTCTGTTGTTTAAAATGTTAAAAATAATTCTAAAAAATTTTAATGTTATCATTTTTTATGTTTATGTATTTGAATTTTTTGAAATATGTAAGTGAAAATATTTAAATATTAAAAATTTTTAAAAATTAGAATGGAATAATTCTAAGAATTTCTTTGTTCTAAAATAGTTTAATATAATTTATCGAAGAAAAATTTTCATTAATTTTCGTTTTTAAATTTACACTTGATAATTTTTCATTAAAATTTTATTATCATAAAAAATGATTTAAAAATATAATTTTGAAAAATTTGTCTATAGCTATTTTGCACATTATAAAAAGCGAAATAAGTTGCATTTTATACTAAAAATGTGGTATTTTGTTGCAACATTTGGAAGAAAGTCGAAAAGTCGGAATTTTTGGAAAAAAGTCGCATTTTCTGAAAATAGTCGAAAAAAGTCGAAAAAGTCATAATATCTGAGGCCTGAATTAATATTGAACGTTAGAACACTTTAAATTAAGAATGAAGTTCATTAAAATGTTCTTTTAAAAGATTTAATAAAGATTTTCGTAAAATAGATTTTTTCTAAATATAGTAATCGACAAATGTTCTTTTATAAAAATAATAAAAATTGACAAAAACATTAAATGCGTAAACGAATTTTTTCGTCTTTCTATCTATAAATACCAGTTAGTGATAAATGAACGTCATTATAAATAGTTGAAGATTAAACATTTTCTATTATGTGTACATGTATAATGTTCGTTTGCCATTGCCACCTTCAAAGCTCGCAACGTAAAACCAGTCAATCGCAGCAAGGCAATTTACGTAAAAAGAAGATAATAGCATGGTAATCGCTTAAGGCACACATTGTTTAACTTAGTTTCAACATCAACTTCAACTTTTGTACTCTGCCATGCTTCAAAGGAATTTAAACGCGCGAAAAATAAATTATGCATCATCCTTTACTGCTCACCTATCTGACATTATTTTATCTAATAATTAATTCCTTTTTTTTATTATCCCGATTCTTTTTATTTTATTTAGAGAGACACTCTTTGTCATATATTTGTGTCAGTTATTTCATTGAAATTTTATTCTTCACTATTTTATATATATATATATATATATATATACATATATATATACATAATTTCATTATCTTTGAATAAGAAAAAAATTAATTATCACTACACTTTTCTCAAAATAAATGTTGAAACAACATTATTAATTTTCTCGGAAAAATGAATTAATCTAATATTTATTATACTACATTAATTAGGATTAATTATCTACATCTTTGATATTAATAGTATTTATACAGAGCAAGAATTATCGAAAAAAAATTTGAATGAAATACTAATAAAATATAAATGTATTTCTAAAATCTATAATTAAGAGAAAGTGAAAAGCTTTTTTAAATACTGGTTTTATGGAACGTTTGCATCTGAAATATTTAATAAAAGAAATTTCTGACAGACCATATACGCGGGAATGTGGTAAATGTTGCAGAAATAACATTCCTTAATTGAGGAAAAGGATAACATAAATATTTATTAATGAAACATGGAAACTCAATTAGAATGTTAATTATTTTTCAATCGCGCATAATTTTCCAATTCTTTACATCTCACTAAATGATAGAACTAAAAAAATGAATTGAAAATAATGCAGAGTAGTTACTATTTTAAAGAATAAAAAATATGCACAATGATTGTTTTCAAAATCTTTAAAATCACTACAAAAACCATAAAAAAGGAATAATAGTAGACGGGGGAAAGCATTAAACGTTTCTACACGCGGGTTTGTTATAAACTTTATCGGTATTTATATAATGTTTGGTTTTTGGTTAAATTGCAAAATTAAGGATAAGAATGAATTTTAATTAAATACTAGCAACAATTCACGTGTTAAAGCGCGCGGCTTACTTCTTGCTACCTTTTTTCAAATAAAACTAGCAATTTTAAAAATAATAAAATTTAAAAATTTTCTAATTTAAACTTTTGTTGAAAACAGTAAAAAAATTCAGTTTTGGAGAAATTACAAATATTTGCAGAAATTCAATTATTTTCAAAAAAGAATAAAATTCTTCTTATAAAATTCAACTATGTTCAAAATTTGAAAAAAATTCTCTTAAAAATCCCAATTATCTTTATAAATAACAAAATTCTTCTCCAAAGTTCAATTATTTTCATAAATAATAATAAAATTCATCGCCGGATTTCAATTATTTTTAATACAATTTTACAATTTTTTTTACTCGACAAATGTAATTATTCTTAAAAACTTAATTTCAATTCCTCGAAAAAATCAATTATTTAAAAACATGTTTCTTTAAAATTCTTTAGAAGAATTCAATTATTTACAAAAATATTAGAATTTTTCACAGGAATTCAATTATTATCAAATATTTTAATAAAATTGATTGAAAGAAAACAATTATTTTATATACAATTTAAATTAAATTTTTTTGAAATAATTCAATTATTCTTTTCGACTTAAATAAAATTTTTGCCAGGAATTTAATTATTTTTAAAAATTTTAATAAAATTCTTATTGCTACTATATTAAATTATTTTCATACGTAATAAAATTAATCGCAGGAATTCAATTCATGGCAATACAATTATCTTCAGGCATTTTAATAAAATTTTTTGCAGAATTCAATCATTTTCATCAATAACAATATTCATTACAAGAAAATCAATTATTTTTAAATTACAAATAATTGTAGAAATTCAATTATTTTTAAATTACAAATAATTGTAGAAATTCAATTATTTTCAAAAAAATAAAATTTTTATAAAATTCAACTGTGTTCAAAATTTGAAAAAAATTCTTGTAAAAATCACAATTATCTTAATAAATAACAAAATTCTTCTCCAAAGTTCAATTATTTTCATAAATAATAAAATTTATTGCAGGATTTCAATTATTTTTAATACAACTTTACATGAATTG